CCTTTAGACCACGAACTCGAGCGGTATGTTCGCTTGTTCAAGAAAGCACTGAAGGAGCGATTGGATGCGGGGGAGGCTTTGGAACAGGTTATCGTTGATGATGGATCAGAGAGCGACGAAGAATAGATGGGGGATCCTGCTAATCAGCTGGGGGATTCGAATGGGGCTTAGCCACAACAACAGGAGCAGACTCTAGAGTACTACTTAAGGTGTAGCATCCATCACCCTCAAGTTGCTGCTAACAACTTCGAGGTGAAGACCTATATCATACAGATGTTGAAGAGCTCTATGGTTTTCAAGGGGCGAATAGGTGAGTGCCCTCCAAAGCCCTTGCGGCGTTTCCACAAGTTGATCGATGTGATTAAAATTAATGGAGTACCTCAAGAAGTAATCCGGTTATGCTATTTTCCATTTACCCTGGAGGAATTGGGCAAGACGTGGCTGGATAATCGTGCCCCAGGATCGATCACATCGTGGTCTGATAACAAATTTTTGAACCGCTATCATTCCCCATCTAAGATAGTGGATCTGCATAAGGAAATCACCCACTTCGAACAGGAGGACGAAGAAACCTTCGAGATGCATGAGAGAGATACTCCAATCTTTTCGGGAAGTGCCCCAATCATGGGTTCAACAATCCCGTCAAAGTGAGCAATTTCTACCGGGCTCTATTTCCTGAATACCGACAGCTTATTGACTTGGTGTCCAATGGGAATATGTTGATCAAAACTCCTCCACAAATGACTCAACTGTTCGAGGATCTGGCAGAGCAGGGCTATGACTGGGAGCTTCAAAGTCGAGGAGTTAATGTTGTGGAGGCTCGGCCATCAAACTTGGAGGTCGCAGTTTCTAAGTTGGTTATGACGATCGACGTTAGGGTCTGGTTATAGGTATGGGTCAGCCTAAAACGATGTACTGCTAGTGATGCGAGAGCACCAATCATATGATGGAGGAATGTCAAGCGATGTGAGTGTCTAACACACATTAGGAGCAGCTGGATTTCATCAGCAATGCTAGGCCCATAGATCCTTACACAATGAGGGGTGACACCAGCATCCCAACCTCTCTTGGGGTGGCAATAGAAACACCAAACCACTAGGATTTCATGCTCATGCAGGTAGTTATTAGAACCAGAGACACTAGTACCACCCTCGCCCGAGTCAGTTCTAATAGTAGCAGCCACCTTACCAACCCAGATAGGGACAAACCTTTCCACTACAGCAGCAACCCCCCTCTCCCCTCCCCCTCCGTAGCATCGACAGTTCCAGCAGTCCGGTGCCCCTTCATTGATCCCAACACAGGGCAATCCGATGATTGAGTTGATGGACATAGTGATCGCTCTCGCCAACACCAACACCCAGAAGTTCAGCAAGGTGGATCAATTCATGGAGCTAGCTGCAAGGAAGTTCATGGAACTTGAAGTTGGCCAGAGGAACCAACTAGCTATTTTGCAACACATATAGACCCAGGTCAGGAGCTGGCTCAATCCGTGGCACACACCGAACACCTTACCTGCAAACACCACACCAAATCTAGAGACTCGCAGGCCCACTGCAAGGCCCACACGCATTGAGATATACAGTGGAATGCAACAACGAACTCTGCTTCAGTGGTAGATAGAGTGACTATTGGTTGCTTTTTGGAGCCCGGGACGCAACACCTCCTACTAGAAAGAAAATATAGCCACTAGTGTCAATTTGAATCACCTCCATTTCCAGGAAGTACCTCATCTTCCTCATGTCAGTCATTTCAAATCATTTCAAACTCAGCCTCCATTGATTGCTTAAACTCTTTAATCATCTCATCACTGGTACTGATGTACATGAGATCATCTACATATAAGCTCACAATCAATAGAATAGTTCCAGCCCTTTTGATGAACAATGTTGCTTTAATTTTACATCTCTCAAACCCTTAGACTTCAAAAATATGTCTCAATCTTGTTGTACTGGGGCCGGGGAGCCTGCTTCAACCGATACAAAGCCTTCTTCAATTTGTAGAATTTATTCTCCTCCCCGAAAACCACAAACCCTTTTAGTTGCCGAACATAAACATCTTCCGCGAGTTCACCATTTAGAAAAGAACTTTTCACATCAAGCTGCCAATTTGTCAAATCATGGTGAGCAGCAAAAGCGATGAGTGTTCTAATGGCGTCCCACCTAGCTATTAGAGCAAAGACTTCAGTGAAGTCAATTCCATGTTTTTGTTCATAGCCTTTAACCATCTCCATTGCCTTGTGTTTATCAGAACTCCCAGTTTCCATTATGAAATGTTCAACAAGCGGTCGACATCTTCCACTAAAAGGTTGACCACTTTACAAGAAAACGGCCTACCACTTTCACCAAGCGGTCCACTGCTTTCAACAACCGGTAAACAACCTTAGTGATTGCATCATATATAATTAGAGTTCGATAATAATAGATATGTTTGTTAGTAGGCTTAATATCATTTTGTACCCCTTTACTATGGTAAACTAACAAACGTACCCTTTTACTAAATTTTTGCACAAACATATCCTTCTAATATTAAAACGTCACAAATTTTCTCTTCCATCTAATTTATGTTAAGTGACCGTTAAATGAGCTGGAAAATGACTCAATTGCCCATCGTTTAATCCTAATTTCGTTTTATGTTCCAAATCAATTAATTAAAAAAATGAAACCCTAAATAATTCAGAAGCACTCGATGAGATGCTAGAGACTGTCGGACTCCCATGAACTCTCCATCGATGATCAGAAGCTCGACTTGGCGGCGGCACCTGCTTCGGCATCTCCGCGTTTGTCTGGTAGATCAAAGGTGATCTACATCTAGCCTAACGGATCAAGATAATCGCTGAGGTGAGGACACGAATTCGTGGTCCTTGTCTTGAGGGGAAGATTGTAATGGGACAATCCAAATACCACTTCGGTAATACAAGGAAGAGACCCTTGTATATTAGTGTCCACCTAGCCCAATTAGTATGAGGCCTTTTGGGAAGGAACTTAAGAGTAAAACCGTGCGGGCTTGACCCAAAGCGGAGAATATTGTACTAATTGAGCTGCCCGATTTTGACACCTACTATCATGTAATCAACCATTGTACACTCTAGTATGATTTTGTGTAGTACCTAGTACCAACAATTACCACCATGGTATAGACTGATATTCAATGTCTTAATGTTTCTATTCCAAAAATGTATCAAAGTGGATATCATTTTGAAGAACACAATTGATATTATATATTTGTGTAAAAAAAATTCAAATTACGACTTAAAACAAAGAGGTATAACCCGTTAAAATTTATAAGAGAAATTATTAGAGACCTTCCATAAATTGTGATGTGGTAGTAATCTGACAAGTTATATATGGTTATTCACTATAGAGATGCTCTCACGGTACCAACCTGACAAGATAACTCTCACAATATTGTTTAATGGATGTGGGTTTTTTTTTTCTTTTGGTAAAATGTCAGTTTGCTTTTCAAGTTGGGTATGAGTTGTATAAGGATTTGGGTGATTGTTCTAGGTTCTTAGTCAGGATTGGATGTACTTTTATCGGATCAAATTAGAAAAAAAAAATGGATGAAAAAAGAAGGAACATACCATTTTCTACGAAAATTTCAAAATCTTGCTACCCATTAGGGGGAAAAATTGTATGGCCACTATGTGTAAAATCCAAATTTATGTGACCATTTTGGATAACTATTATCCATTTTATTTAACACTAACAAAAACATGCATCATCCATGCTTAAAGAGCACGTATTAAATGAACAATACGTTTTCTTGTCTAAACTATTCTGTAAATTTTCACTCCAATAGAGCTGGAGGACAAGAGCATGGATCATCATCCGTCCTTGTGGGAGGCGACCCAAGGTCCAGTCGCCCGACTCGTCCCTGTGCTGCTCTCTTGCCCTCAAGGATTGAACCCCGAGACTTCTTCGAACAGAGCTTAAACAACCTGATCGAGGAGATCACTCAGGACAACCGTCCAGGGCCACCTCCGGCTCCCGAATCTGCCACAGAGACGATCCCAAGAGTGGAGATGGAAACAGCTCACTTGGCTCGTAACGAATACGATTCGTGTCCAGTGTGCAAGGAGAGTTTGTGGTGGGAGGTGAAGCCAGGGAGCTGCCGTGCAAACACATCTACCATGAGGACTGCATTGTCCAGTGGCTGAGATTGCATAATTCCTGCCCGGTTGCATAATTCCTTGGCAGTGAAAGTGGGGAGTGTGAAGAAAGCAACAGCAATCGGAGTGGCAGGGGAGGGAGGTGGTTGTGGTTGAGAAGGCAGTTTGCAGGTTCGTGGCCGTTTCGTGCTCGATATGCTCGAGCTGTGCGTGTGCCTCATGGTAGTGCTAAACGCAGAGATATTCATTATCACTCTAATGCTGCTGATGATTCCTGGAGAGAGGTCAGAATTGATTGCTATATCTTCTTGCTGTTATGCGTGGAAACCAAAGTGCATACACACTATACCGTGCTTTTAGTTGTTTTATCTGAAGATTGTATGCTTCAAATGACGTCTTTCGAACTCTACTCGTATGAGGATCGTACGATTCGTGCTTAATCAAATTTGGGTACTGCACTGAAATCCATTTTTGCTTTCCCCATCAGGATGGAGCCGCTGCAACATTTTGCGAGCTTTTCTTTCCGAAACTGCACCATACCAGTCGGAAACAACCACATATGATACCAGTCTGATACTAGCACCCCTAAATACCAATCGTATTTGTAAAAGAAAAACAACTTGCCGATCGATCAGCAGCAAACTGTGATTCGCTACTCTGGCAACTGGACGACTCGTCCAACATTCCTTGTCATACCGAACGAGAGTAAACCATAACATGAAATTTAAACGAACCAGACATGAACCTCATGACACTAAATGGCAACAGGAATGGTATCAAAGACAGGGAAATAGCAGACTAACTGTCATGTCTTCTGATGTTAAGGTTGTTGAACAACCCACATATTGTTCCCCAGCTTTTGATCCTAATTTCTGACAGAAAACAGGCATATTCATAGACGCTTTGGTTGACAATTACTACCAGCGTAGAAACCTTGTGTATAGGCTGTGTTCTTAAACATTACCTGCAATAAGGAACAAAAGGTACGCTTGAGAAATACATGCAACATTGGTAACTCGCACTGTTGAAAAATCTATTTCTACTGGCTTAGCATCTCTCATACGATCTCTTCATAATTAGCCAAAGTTAACTCACCGTGAGATTTTGTAAATCAGGAGCAAGATGCTTTCTGACACTGTTGGCTAAAGCTTCTTGCTTCGCAACATCTTCTGTGAGCTACAGATAAAATATTCACATTTTAGTTGCAAAGGAAGAAGGCAAACAATGACCTTGAGCACATGAGAGAAAGTGGAGCAAAAAATAGATACCGTGCTTATCTCAGAAAGCAGCAATTCTGTCGTCTTCTTGAGAATCTCATCCACAAATAGTCTGGACTCTGCAAAAGCATTTGGTTGGGGCGCTGCATTGTTTGGCTTGTCTTTCGCATTTGGATCAGCACTGCTTGGCTTAGCAGATTTCACTGAATCAAAGGAAGTGAGCAACATTAAGTCAATGTCACTCATCACTTCAAATGGCCTGCTATGCGTAAAATTAACGACTGGACTAGGTAGGATTGAGGTATTGTCTGCAGTAAAGTGAACCATCATATTAGCATTGAAGTCCTTTCTGCCATAAACATCATAGTACTCATGACATATTTAAGTTGTGGTTGACTTAGATGAAGTCTTTTCTGCAGAAAGTCAGCCATCAAAGTATAGGTACTAGACACTCTGGAGAACTCCATTTTTTCAACCAACTAATCGTTTCACAATCATTCACTTATTTTAATAATGTTCACACTTCCTTTTCTACTATTTGCTCCAGGTGACCCTTCTCCAGATCTTTTGAGTCCAAGAGAGATTGGTTTTCACTTAAACTACAGGTTTCCGTACCAACGGAAAAACCTAAACTGGTTGAGGTTCAACCTTAAATAAGGCTTGACAACAACCTGTAAAAGACGTGCAACCTTAAAATCCTATTAAAATAGGTGTTGAGATATATGGATAATAAATCCACCCAAATTCAAACTATCTTCAATGAACCAAACTATAGCTTGCATGATATGTGTGTAACTAACAGATCTATAAGCATGTACCTGAGGCGGGTGTGCACTTCTTTTGAACAGGAAAAGACTTCTCACTCACAGCTTGTGAAGGCGTACTGTTTTCAGGAGCATCTGGTATATCAATGGTACCAGATGGTACGAGAATAGCTAGATCTGGAGGTTGATCTTTCCCTACTGGTGGGTTAGCCTGAAATAAAAACAGCAATACATAATTTGGAAGACTGAAATCCACTGATGAAAAATTAAAAAAGAATTATTTCACATCACCTCAAGGTCAACATATGAGGGCTCTCTCCCAATTGATTTAAGAAACTTATCTAGGTCACTAGCTTGGACGGCTGAAAAAAAAAAAGACGTGCACTAGTTAGACAAATCTTAGATTGTAAACCACATGCATCAATATTAAAACATTGGAGGGGAACTATGAAAAACCGAAGGCTCCAAATGAACAAATTCCATTTAACCATTTTTCAAAACTTACAGATTGATGTTTCATTAGATAGCGGATGGAAGAAGCAATGTGGCTGGGTTTTGAATTCCTTGTCCAACAAGAGTGAAACGTAGCTTCAAAACATATATGCCATACATCAGAAACCAAAGGAGCATCACTTAACAATTGTTTAAAATTTAGTTTTAAGATCATAGTATGATATTGCTGGGTGCAATGGTAAAAGGTTCGATATGCTAGCCATTCACACACAATGACACAAATAGATTGATTCTTCCTAGCAATTCAAAAGCAAGTGGGTACTAGTTTTAGCCGCTGCATAGCATCCAGGAATTCTAAACAATGACTTTAGTTCTTAATACATCTCACATCCTCGGTAAATGATATTAAAATTAACACCATCAAAATTATAAATTTTATAGATCATATATGATATTAATCATAATCGTTTATCCTTGATCTTATCATTGAGTACAGCTATCATCTCGAAATTCAAAATGAAACTGATGATAAGAAGGAAAAAAACTAATGATAAGAGGTTACATAATTATTTTAATTTAAATGATTTCATCAGCTAAAATACTTCCACTCACAACCATTTGTTTATTTATATAAAAAGAAAGTGTTTCTTGCTTTCTATACTTCGCCACTCTCATTAACAAAGTACCATAACTAAAAGAGACACAAGAAAAATGTTTAATTGATCAAACGGGAATACTCTTTCTACCGTTTGTTTTATCTCTCACACTTATATGGCGTACTTATATCAAATAAAATAACATAACTGTGCTTCAGTGGCCAAAGTTCTACCTGTTTCCTGGACCTTTGAAATATAAAGACGAATTTGAGTGTCGAAACACTAGTTAAATGAGAAGCTAAGTCCAGGGTTCAAGGCTTCAAGCACATCATATAACTAGATCAAGGATAAGGTTATACCTTGCTGACTCATTGATGAGTGCAAATGGAGTGACACAGCCTAGAGGAACCTGTACAAATAGTCACGGGGGAAAAGTTAAGACCACAGGACCACAAATTCCGGCCATTTAGCAGTTTTCAACTTCAACTCTGTGCAGGACTCGTTTGTATCAATAACTTAAAACGAATATCCCATCAGCACTTGGGCCTACTACAGTTAGGAAAAAATGGAATGATTTCACTAGCTGTTAATTAAATTCCATTAATGAAAGAACACATTCTGCAACCAAATACTCTTGTGGATCTCAGAGGGTACGATAATTAATTAAGAACGCAACCAACATAGATACCATTTCAGGGCCCATTATGAGTTTGATAGTTAAATTTATATCCAAAATCTTGCTTTGAAGTGTTCAAAAGAGTATCACAGCATGTCGGGACCAAAAGCAAGTCCCAATTGATTTGAAGATATCACCCGAGTATGCTAATTATAGCAGATAAATTAAGTATTTTGAAATTTAAGCTAACAGAAGGACTCAACGCATAGGTACATAATATTTTTGGGGGGCTTTCTCAAGAAGAGACACAAGGCACGTAAAAGCAAGAGGCATTGCATTGCAGAAAGCGTGTACCTGTAGTAGCTGTCCTAATGCTTCTTCAGGAGCCATTCTTATGCCTCCCTTCCCCAAACCAAGCCGCTGAGACAAAACTGCATGACTTCAAGAGTATAATCTGATTAACAATCATTTCCTTAACATGAATGAGTAAGATAACTTCTCTCGGTGCAAATTGTCACAAAGTTCACCTTTCAGATCTACTTTAGTATCTGCAAGAGCTGAAACAATGTAGAACCTACTTTTCTTGTCCTGTTACAAAAACCCATCTTCATTTCGCAGCCGTGACTCAAACAAGGGTATTGCTAAGGAAATCAACATAAGACATCTTAACAATCCTTTTTTATTACCTTCAAGAATAAATTTTTGCTAAGTCCGCCTCCTTTGTCCCCCACATATTTTGCCTGTGCACAAATGTGTAGTATTGAATCAAAATATTGGTCCATGCGCACTCAAATTTGATAATCTTTCCTTTCGAAAAAAATGTCTTACCTGAGCTTCTACAGTTAGAACAGCAGGATGGTCATACTGCTCAAATTTGATACCAAGCTCCTGAAGCACCATCACAGGGCAAAGGCCGACAGGAAAGCAGGAAAGTGGAAAAAATCTCAGCATACTTTTTACTAAATAAAACAAGGTGATATAAACAACGACACACGCAAAGTTGGTCCAGCAAACAAAATCCCCCCATTTGGATGAAGATCCAATAATAGAATGGGTCATAGCTTTAACAAGGATTCAGATGTTCAAAATAGATCAGTTGTTTTAAGTAATTTGGGAGATCACACTGAGCAAGAATAACTACTAATGGTAGATAAAAACTTGAGAAAGTGAAACTGCTACATGGCCGTCTAGAAGGAAGAATGCCCAAATCAAGTTTTGCTTTGAGCAGAGAATTGACTGAAAGATACACAGATCACTGCGGAGTAACTGTGGGGACAGTTGTGAAGAAAAACAAAGCGACAACTGATCGAACCTTCAAGCGTGCAAGCAATTGCTCCTTTGTAAACCCCATATTCTGGAATGCAAGAGGTCAAGAGAATTTCAACAGAAAACCGAGCCTTGCCAAACCCGTGCACTGCTGCACAACAAAAAGGTAGTACCACAGATTACAGAGTAATTCAGCAACCTAATCAGCCATCAATTGTCAATAAATTATTGCATCCCAAAATTGCTCTAGATTCACTACCAACTATCAGAAAAGTAAAGAACTACATCATCCACCTCAAACATATCACGGCATAAAGAGTAATAGCATTACCCAGAGAATGAACGTATCAAATAATAAAAGATCCAAATCAGTAGCCTCCCAAGTCCCAAAGAACTTACGAACCAACCAGCCGAAAGCAAATCTAGAATCCTTGCATTGATTAGCAAAGGTTTGACACTAGCTTAAATGGCTACGTCTCAGCCAGATATGATTTAATACTCAAATCGACAAAGCAATAGGAAAAATTCCAGACTTCTAATTCGAAATCCTAAAACTTATGATTTCTCTTTGTTCCCCCCTTCCCTTTCCTCTTACCCTACTAAGTGCTGACAAACTATTATACACATCAGGAGAAAAGAGGAAGCGCAGCTCAGTGGCAAAACCTTGGCAACGCAGAAGCAGAATATCAGAGAAAAATCAAAGGGCGAGGAAGACACTCGCAAGCAGATGGCGTCTAGCTGGTGGTGGCGGCGCCTTCTTCTGTTCCGCTGTCGAAGAAGGAGAGAGAGCGGCGTTTATGCTCTGCCCGGCTGGGAAACTGAAAAATTATTGCGAGACGAGACAAGGAACCGATAGGGCTGAGGCGAGACTTCTGCTTGCTTCAGTTTGAGGAGGTCAGGAGTCAGGATGTGTAAATATGAGGGCTTCATTGTTAATTTTCCTACTCTGGGTACCCATTGTAAATTAGCCAAACAGCACCAACTAGTATATTGGTGATTTTTGAAATGTTTGTTGATTTTTATGAATTTTTTTCACTTTGTAGCATTTCAAAAATGAACCGGCTGGTTGACCAGAACTTTTTTTTTTTGTATAGTTGACCGAAGGCTTTAGTTTGATTACCAAGCGAAATTTTTTTATCCATTTTAAAAATGAGCTTGAACCGATTGTTTTTTCCCGGTAAGGATGATAAATATTCATAGAAAAAAAACAAAACAGACCAGGAGACGTCAAATCGGTAATCTCACAGAAAAAACAAAACGAGAAAAAGGGTGAAATACAGAGAAAACAAGATAGGGCCAAAAATGAAAAAACTAACAGTAGGGCCCTGGAGAAAACTGAAAATCGCTGCAAAGACAGCTGACAAAACCCCCCAAGGAACACGCAAAAGTTTCACAGGTAGGCAGACCAAAGCATAAGCTGTTTCAATCGCCCAACTGGGGGGTTCGCTTAATATGGGGAATCAACCTGTTTCTTAGATTCGATACCCATGATTCGGCGACTTGCTTGTCGACTTTCTCGGCCGCGGACACCCGGCTTGCGATTAGGCATCCATCCAATGCGAAAAGATGTGACTTGAGGGGAAGCTGCCTCCCCATTGAAGGTTCTGGAATTCCTTTCCAGCCATAAACTCTAACAATAGGCGTGTAGGAAGACCTTAATGCACCATTGTCAGGGGCTGGAGGGCTTTTGACAATACCACTGCTTGATCCTTACTGAGATATCATCATTATCACTGGTCCTGCTTTCCATCCTGACGAAAGCACGCATCGTCCGCAAATTTCCTTTGAGAAACTACAACTAATGAACAAATTATTCGGGTTCTCCTCCTTTTCGCAAAGGGCACATATGTTTGGTAATTGTACTCCCCACTTCTTTAGATTGTCATGAGTAAGGAGTCTTTTGTGAAACACAATCCATAAGAAGATGCAGACTTTACTTGGAACTATCTTTTGCCACACAACCTTGACGGGGAAGTCATCAATTTCGGTGAGCCTATTTGCTCTCTAGTGATCATACGCAGACTTCACACTAAAGCCTGCAGATGCAGCCGACATCCATTTCAATCTCTCAGGACCTACAATAAAATTAGAAGAGGGAAGATTTTCAAGTAAGTTCATTAAGCACTCTCTCCCCCACTCAAGAGAGATGATCGGCGACGTGGGAACTCGGGAAGACTGCAGCAACCAACACTCTCGAAAATGTCTCCGCCAGGCATGAACCTTTGATCCAATGATTGTTATGAATTTCACTTAAGATTTTGTATCAATGGCATTACTCGAGATTAGGGGTGGGCATTTGGTTGGACTAGCCATGAAAACAAACAACCGCAACGTATAGAACACAGTCGTGTTTTAATTGCATCATGAAAACACAGTTTGGGAGACGGTCATTTTTTAGGTTGTGTTCCTTTTGCTACCTTTTATTTTAGTTGTTTTTGCGATTCTTGTGGCTGCTCTCTTTCGTTGCGTTTGGTGTTGTGTGATGGTGGGCTTTGGGGTTGAAGGTTGTTGATTCGTTGCGTTTGGTGTTGTGTGATGGTGGGTTTTGGGGTTGAAGGTTGCTGCTTCGTTGCTTGTCGAGGAGGTTTGCTTCCTTCATCTGTGCTCTTGTGCTGGATGGTGCTTTGTGATGTTTGGATTTGTGGTTGGCGTGCTGCTTTTTGTTGGTGGTTGGCAGCGGTTCTCGATGCAAGTTGCTGATTTGGGTTTTTTTAGTTAGGGTTTGTTTGGGATCTGGGGTATGTGTCATGGTGGTGTTTTGGGTTTAAGTTTGTTTTGCTTGTTGTGGGCTTATGGTTCCCTTCCTTTTTCCTCTTTATATAATTCGTTTTCTTATTGAGCTTGTCTTGCTCACCTAATTTTTTTTATCTCTCCCTCTTAGACATGTCTATGTTCTTCCTGGACCTGGTCCAAACTCCTGTATCACATTCCTCTTTCGTAATGAAATCAGGCTTTCGTAAAAAATAATTTGTGAAAGGAAAAAACAGTTGGTAGATACCACTTCCCAAATTGACACAACTTTATAAATTGCTTTGACAACCTTGCCAAGTCATGATAACATAGAGAATATTGGAAGCGGACCTCTTAGGTCTTAAATTAGAATAGCATAATCAAACAATCTGGTGAGGCATACCTCTCAAGTTCCATACAATCAGAACATCGATGCCTTCTAGCCTTTCTCACATAGATCACATATGATTATTGATCCGCAATACATAGGATTTCAATTAATCGGTAGGTAACCATAATCGTATTCCCACATGGCATTTCAAATCCTACTACCCAGATAGTGAGAATTCCGTTCTCTTAAAAAACGTTCTTTAAGGTTGAGGTGCCTCCGGTTTGAAAAAACTTTTAAATTGTATAAGTTGAGAAAACAAAAAGGAAAAGTAAAGTAGAATAGTATGAAACAATATAAATAGTACAAAAAGGCATTGTTTATGTATTATTTTCTCTAGAATTTACATATTGTTATGCAAATTCAATCAAACAAGTGCAATTGATTTTGAACCTCTTATCTCCAATTCTCCATCTATTAATCATTTTTCATATTCTATGTACTTGTTGTCACTACATGACGGGGCAATGTAATCTTAAAATAGAATGTGATTCATATTATAGATTCTTGTCACGATTATCCTACAAAATCGTTATACTAGACATGTATCGGCATCCACGATCTCACAACATATGAAAAATTATTTCCAATCAACTCATATGAAGCACAAATAAGCAATATAATTAATATCAATAAACTATAAGAATAAGAATCAATTCAATCACACCATATAATTATAAAATCAACATAAAATTAAAGCAATCTTTGAAACCTGTACAAACCTACATAACATATCATTCTTGGTGGATCTGCCTTCATTTGGGCTTCCAAAAGACAATTTTGGGCGCCATTTTTGGGCTGGTAGTATTGGTACTGATAAACTTGTTTGAGCCATATTTCACTCATCCAACCTCCATATCCATTTTCATGATCTCAGACGCTCGTATTCTCGTCTCTTTTCATGTCATAATAAGCCAACTTGACGCCTTAGCGTGAAATATACAAAAACTATAAGAATAAGAATCAATTCAATCACACCATATAATCATAAAATCAACATAAAATTAAAGCAATCTTTGAAACATGTACAAACATACATAACATATCAATCTTGGTGGATCTACCTTCATTTGGGCTTCCGAAAGACAATTCTGGGCCCCATTTTTGGGCTGGTAGAGGTAGTATTGGTACTGATAAACTTGTTTGAGCCATATCTCACTCATCCAACCTCCATATCCATTTCCATGATCTCAGACGCTCGTATTCTCGTCTCTTTTCATGTCATAATAAGCCAACCTGATGCCTTAGCGTGAAATATACAAAAACTATCCAAAAATACATCAAATGTATAAAAATACACCTACAGGCTATCAATGACATAATTGAGCAAATACCAGCAAATTCAAGTTAAACTAGATAAATAGAGCCACGATTAAGATCATGCAACTTGTTCCTTGTCGCCTTTGGACCCCATGCTTTCACATTTGCTCATTTTATGATGTTTGTGGTTTTATCGTTGGTTCTATTAATGGTTAATAGGTAATGATGACTTACACTCTTTTAAAAAAGAGTTAAAATGACTAAAAACATGACGAAATTATGCAGAACATGCCATAGAATATGATTATAAAAACCATATATTTACATGTCATCAAATTACCCCACACTTGAACTTTGATTGTCCTCAAGCAAACTACATTCAAAAATCGTGCAACACACAATACCTCTAGGAGGACACGTAATTTATGATTGTGTGCAGTGGATTACAAGTAGCTTACTAGGTCAATCTTTCGCATATAGAGAACTAAACCACGTTAGTGAGGTACATATCACATATGGACAATCTGGCGAACCTCCATAAACCATGAGCAATTTAAGCACGAGAGTCTCATAAATGCATGATTGAATGTACCACACCTCCTAGTTATTTCAAATAACTCATCTTTCAACCTTTTTTTTTTCCGTACTCCATCCCTTCTCTAAGTAGTGATATACTACAATACTTGAATGTTTTATCCAAACTAAACAATTAGACCTAATTAAATACTATAATGTAGCATTTTGATTCGAAAATCTTGATTTCCTTCGATCATCACCAACCGGATCAGAGTGACAGGTCGGTACAGCAGCAGCAGCAGCTCCTGAAAACTAAAAACCAGGCCCGTCAACGTGGCGGTGTAGTTCAATGAACCAGATCACCATTCCTGGCCCTGAATAAACAACGATACTTCCCCTGCTTGTAGTTGACCCCAAGCTGGAGCTCCTTAAATGAAACATAAAATATTGCTCAAAATCCTCAATCTGATGCCATCACCAAAACAATATACTATTCTCTTCTTCCACCCCCATCCCATCCCCATCACCAAACCGCTCTCGACTCTTCAACAAGCCGTGGCGTCAGTAAATGTGGCGGAGGAGAGAGTGAATGCGCCATCGAGATGTCAACGGTTGCCAGCCGAACAGAATTCTGCGCGCAACTAAGAAAACGACATTAGCTGGGAAAACAACAAAGAACGAATTCCCAGATCGAATTAAACCAAATCGGATAGATATCATCACTTATTTTTTTCCATTCCTTTTGTTCCTCCTCTCTGTTCCCATATGGCAAACTCCTCTGTTTTCCCCTCCCTCTTCTTCTTCTTCTTCTTGTTGTTGGTTTCCCACAATCCACTTCCCGCCTCTGCTTATTCCTTCACGGAGTTCGTCTTCCCCAACTTCACTGCCACCAACGTTCGATTCATCGACAACGGCGGGGCTTTCCTCTTCTCCCGCAACGGCTCCTTCAAGGCCGCCATTTCCAACCCGGGCGGCCAGCAAACCAGGTTTTACCTCTGCGTCATCCACTCTGCCTCCGGAACCGTCATCTGGTCAGCAAACCGCGATGGACCCATCTCAAATTCCGGCACGATGGCTTTCACCCGCGACGGAATCTCCGTCTCCGACCACGACGGCAGTCCTAAATGGTCAATCCCCACAATCCCCAAATCATCCGCCGCAGCAGCGTTGCAACTGACTGAGTCGGGAAATCTCGTCCTGCTCGACAAGTCTAACGCTTCTCTATGGGAGAGCTTCGATGACCCTGCCGACACAATTGTCGCCGGACAAATTCTCAGGAAAAACGGGAATGCTCTGTTTAGCTCCGTCTCCGGCGAAGATTTCTCCACCGGGGATTACCGGCTCGCGTTTTCGGACTCGGACGTGATTCTTGGGTGGCGAGGGCAGAGCTACTGGAAGCTTTCCATGGATCCGAGAGCGTACACGGATTCCACCTCCCCGGTGGAGTCCATGGCGGTGAACGGAACGGGTTTGTTCCTTTTCGGCCGAAACGGTTCCATTGTGGTGGCTCGGGTTGCTCTGCCACCGGCGGACTTCCGGATCGCCCGGCTGGCCTCCTCCGGTCAATTCATCGTCAGCAGCTTTTCTCACGGAGGAATGAAGGAGGAACTCGATGGACCCAATAACGTCTGCCAAATCCCCTCCATTTGCGGGGAAATTGGGTGGTGCTCTGTTTCCACGGGAAACAACCCAACTTGCCAATGCCCGCCGGGTTTCCGCTCCAAAGCCAGCAACTCGGATTCCTTCAATGGATGCGTTCCGAGCGACAGTTCTTCTTCCCTTGTGGGGTCCTCCTGCAGCAACAATGGAAGTCAGGTCAATTCTTCGTCGCCGCCAATCTCGTATCTGAGCCTCGGTAATGGTATGGACTATTTCGCTCTCGATTTCTCCCAGCCGACGAAATACGCGTTGAATTTATCGGCCTGTCAGGAATTCTGCACAACAGACTGCGCTTGCTTGGGGATTTTCTACGACAATTCGTCCGGCTCTTGCTACACCATAGAGAACGATTTGGGTTCGTTTATGTCGAGCCGTGATCGAGATAGCGATCAGGTTGGGTACATCAAGACCGTGGAATCTGCTGATAAGAGCAGCTCGGGAGGAAACAGGGGATCCGTCAACGAAACCCACAACAGGAAGCAGTTTCCATTGGCTGCTCTGGTTCTCTTGCCCTGCATCGCCGTCGCCGTCGTACTGGCTGCAGGTCTCGTATGGTGGAGGAGGTGGAAAATCGCCGGCGAAAAGGTAAGGCTAAGCCACGCCAATTCGTTTTCTTCGGACGAAATGGATGCGTTCTACATCCCAGGGCTGCCTCAGCGATTCGATTACGAGGAGCTCGACGAAGCAACCGACCGTTTCAAGATGCAGATCGGGTCGGGCGGGTTCGGGTCGGTGTACAAGGGCGTCCTCTCGGATAAATCCGTGGTCGCGGTGAAGAAGATAACCAACGTCGGGATTCAGGGCAAGAGGGACTTCTGCACCGAGATCGCCATAATCGGCAACGTCCACCACGTCAATTTGGTGAAGCTGAGAGGGTTCTGCGCGCAGGGGAGGCAGCGGCTGCTGGTCTACGAGTACATGAACCGAGGGTCGCTGGACCGGACTCTGTTCGCGAGCTCCGGTCCGGTCCTCGAGTGGCAGGAGCGGTTCGAGATCGCTCTGGGAACGGCTCGCGGGCTGGCGTACCTCCACACCGGGTGCGAGCACAAGATCATACATTGCGACGTGAAGCCGGAGAACATCCTGCTGCAGGATCAATTCCAGGCCAAGATATCCGATTTCGGGCTGTCGAAGCTGCTCGGGCCCGAGCAGTCGAGCCTATTCACCACGATGAGGGGCACCCGAGGGTACCTCGCGCCCGAGTGGCTCACGAATTCGGCCATTTCGGAGAAGACCGACGTCTACAGCTACGGTATGGTGTTGCTGGAGCTTGTGAGTGGAAGGAAGAACTGTTCGATCAAATCCGCGAGCCCCAGCCAGGGAGGTGGGCATTCGACGACGACAACGACGACATCATCGTCGTCGGCTCAGTTTGGCGGGATGGTTTACTTCCCTTTGGTGGCGTTGGAGATGCACGAGCAGAGGAGGTATGTTGAGTTGGCGGACGCTCGACTTGAAGGCAGGGTGAGGAGTGAGGAAGTAGAGAAGTTGGTTCGAGTGGCGTTGTGTTGTGTTCATGAGGAGCCTTGTTTGAGGCCGAGTATGGTGAGTGTTGTTGGGATGTTGGAAGGAGGAATTTCATTGGGCGAACCAAGGATGGAATCGTTGAACTTTTTGAGGTTTTATGGACGGAGATTTGCTGAGGCTTCGATCCTTGGGGAAGATGGGAATAATGAGCAAAGAGAAGCTTTGTTGAATTCACGACAAGAGTATGGTACCTCGAATTACTCGAGTACGATCTCAGACCCACAGTATATTCCCTTGTCTTTTATATCTTCGCAACAGATCTCAGGTCCAAGATAGTAGTACGTGTACTAAGCCTGGAGTTTCTATGTAAGTTACACTTCACCAGCTAATAAGTTGTGAGTATGTGTATAGTTGTACGATTTCAATAGTCACTAGTTTGTGACTTATTGTTGCCCTTTCTTGGAATGAGAATTTGTGAATGTCCATTATTTCCTCTGTTGATTCATATGTATGGCTAAATGCGAGTTATACTTGTGTGATGTTAAAGCGTTTAGTTTTCTTCTTGCTAATTAATATAAACTAGTTCTCATTGCCCCTGCTTCGCATTGTGATGCGGGTTATTAAGACGTACTTATTTCGGCATCAAAATACACATCAGGATATAAAAGTGGTGTGTGGGAAAATAAGCAGCATAATGACTCTCAAAATACACATCAAACACCGGTGAATATCATATAAATATGAGAGCCGCCTTAGCAGCACAATGATCACTTCCAAAACATTATAGTACGTTTATTTGACAGGCTTGATAGAGTAAGTACAACTTAAATTGATAACTAAAGAATACAAAATTTGGAAAATGCATACATAACTGAAAATACTAACTGTTTTGGTGCATTGATCAAATCATATGTATTGTTACCAAGGTTCTAAAAGGCGCTAGGCGTAAGGCAGGCGCTCGGCTCCTGACTTGCGCCTTGCCTGATTAGGCGTAGCCTAGGCGCGCCTAGGCGTTTAGAGCATAAATGGAAAAAGTTCTCAAATATTTCATGTTTTCTGGAATAATTCATATAATCCAAGTGCATATAAAATTAGCAATGCCTAGTTCTTAACAGTAAACACTTAACATAACAAATAGCAAGCAAATAGTGACCACTTCCTAGAATCACAAGTTGGGTTAATTGCAAGGATGGTCACTCGGTTTACTAAAACCGTTCATGTTTGGTCACTGCAAATATTTAATTCCATTCATGGTCACTAAGATTAGTTCAATTGTTCAAGTTTGGTCAGTCTCTGTTAGTTTTTGCTGATGTGGCAGTCAACTATTATAGTTGACCGTTAAATGAGTGACGTGGCCAATAAAAAAATTATAAAATAATAAATTTGAATATTTACAATTTCCACCTCATTTTACAACTATTAAAATTTAAATATTTTCTTTGACTTACCTCATTTTACAGCAGCGAGCAATTTCCAAACTCGCTTACACCATCTCTCTCCCCCCGGATTCCTTCCTCCGATCATCCAATCACAATTTACAGCATAGATCGATGAGCAAGAGGGAGATTCCGAGCAGCAACCCCACAAAAACCCATTTCCCGGCGTCCACTGTTTCTGCTCCGGATCTCAATCTAGACATCCTCCTCCACCCCAATACGACGCCGTGCCTCGCCGCGGCGGCGAAGAAGCTTCGATCATCATCCGAATCGCCTGCACAATCGACGATGATGGACACTCGGGTCCCAGATCGCGATTTCCCCAACGACGACGACAATGATTCCGATTCCTCCTCCGACATAATCAACACCGAGATAGTACCCTTTCCCCGCTCGCTCAACAGCATCCCCGCCGCTTCCTCTGCATTCGCCTTCGACATTTTGAGGAAGGAGGGTAATATCCCGACCACCCACCAGCTCTTCCCGGAGAGGGCGGGGCCGGAGCTCAACCCGCCGGCGACGGCGCCGGGTCAGTGAGGGAAGCACATAATCCGTCGAGAACGTTGGAGTAGGAGTAGATTAGCTTGGAGGTAGGGGATTCTGACTGCGAAATCGACGACAGAGAGGCTAGGTGCCAGTGGTGTGGAGATTGGAAGGCTTTTGGCAATTGGCATGACATTGGAGTCCATTAGAATAATATGCTGCTGCTCGGTTTGGACTAAAGTGAGAAGAAAGGTGGCGAAAAAGGTAAGTTTTATTTTTATTTTTTAATAGTTGTAAAATGAGGTGGAAATTGTAAATATTTAAAATTTATTATTTTTTTATTTTTTTTATTGGCCACGTCACTCATTTAACGGTCAACTATAATAGTTGACTGCCACATCAGCAAAAACTAACGGAGACTAACGGAGAGTGACCAAACTTGAACTATTGAACTAATCTTAGTGACCATGAATGGAATTAAATATTTGCAGTGACTAGACATGAACGGTTTTAGTAAACACAGTGACCATCATTGCAATTAACCCATCACAAGTTCATAAAATGTCGAAATACTAAACAATAGTCCTGCGAAGCTCACTCTGTTCACCTGCCATTGCATCTGTAACAGTACTCGAGGGTGCACAATATGATTCCTCATCCTCATCTACGAATACATACATAGCATGGTCATTCCCTTCCCGTGTTTCTGATTTTCTAGGGCAAGAGGCAATTTTCTGATTTTCTAGGACAAAACAAAGAGTATTGGGTTTAACCGCCTAAGCTCGCCCAGGCACGCCTTCTCTCCACTAGGCGCAAACTAAGCGCTATTCCTACCTACTAAGCGCTACCAGCGCCTTTTACAACGCCTTTGACCAAGTCAAGGCGATCCTCCACCGCCTAGCGCCTAATTGAGCCTAGGCGTGCGCCTAGGCGCGCCTTCTTGAACCCTGATTGTTACTGAATATTGGTTAGACTTGTCACATGGTTTCCCTCTACGGCTCTACCCTTAGCCTGTGCTTAATTTCCATTCTATCTACAAATAACACTAAGCCACCATAAATAAAAGAGTACGTCAGCGAACAAGATAATGATGGCCTATAAGCAGCATGGTTACATTATGAGAAGTCAAGCAGAACCATAACTAGGGTTTGATTCAATCTTCACAACACAGGATTTCGATAATTTTCAACTATTGAAACGTTGAACTGCCTAGAGTAAACGAAACTTCCAAATGATATTATTGAAGAAATCCTAGGACAATTGAATTATCATCCAAAAGCACCTAGGTTAAACAATGTTACACAAAACAAAGACTGTGGAACAACTTCTTTTTGTGATTTGATATATTTTGACGAATCAGAATCGTCCCTTATTATTTTAAAAGTTAAACGAATCTCATGGTTTGGGTTAGAAAATTAGGGACTGAGGTTCACCCATTAAAAGTTAGGGTATAGTATCATGCCCCAAACTCGGACGCCCGTTAAGTTAGCGTACGCCCGCCTGAACCAGACACGAGGAAAATACTCTTTTAGACCCACATATTATGACCTGAACTTTATAGTTTTCACACATTTATTGTCGTAATATTTTGAATTTACTTCATGATCACTCAAAGTGTGTTTTAGCAGTGTTAGACTTGCTTTTATCAGTTTGATGCACTTTTAGTATTGTTTCGTGTGATTTGAAGGCGTAGCATCCTAATGGACCGTTTTGAACGTGCTGAGGGTCATCAAAACTCGACTACTAGGAGCCAAAAGTGGGCATGAAGAGAGGACAAAAAATTATGCCAGATTGTGTATCCTGATGTGCACCTGGGTCGCCGTTCAGGGGCTTGTCCAGAAATCACATAGATTTTTCAAAAATATGCTTTTCGTGGTGGCCTAGTTGGAGGAAGCTGATTGGGACTCAAAGAAGTATTAAATGAATATCCTCTCTTCCTAAAACCCTAATAGAAAGTCTATAAATAGACTTATAAGAAAGAGGAGTTTGACTGCCAGTTATAGGAGGCATTCGAGGGCCAGTACTTTGCCGACAAAGCGGCTCATCCGACTTAGAGCAAACCGGCTACTAGAGGAAAATTGGCACAAAAATCAACGACCTAGTCCCCGAAATCTCTATTCCAGGTGCCGATTTGTAGACCACCCTGGGATCTCGTTCCGACATATGTACTCCTTGGATCTCATCCTCATGGTCGGCTTGTTCTCTTGTATGTGTAGGTAGGCAAACCCTAGAAGTTATAGACTATGTAACGATCGATTTTGGCAATATACGATGTTTTGATTCTTAGTCTTTCTGCTGTGATCTTATGTTTGGTTTATTTTTGATTTAATTGCATGCTTAACATGAGGAATAAATTAAAGGTCATATCCTCAAACCCGACTTTGTGGGTAGAATTAGACTGGACATGACATTTCGCCCACGATCGATCCTCTATCGATCAAATTGAATCGAATTCTTCAAGGGAGAAATTCGTAGGGTTCATATTATTGCCTACTAGACCTGACATTTTTTTATGACATACGGTAGGAGTAAACCTAACATAGATCAAGTAGAGTTCATATGCTGCCAACAGGATTGATGGTAAGAGTCTAAGGAACTCTTGGGAGAGCTTGCCAATGCAACACCTCATCGTCTTGCTTCCTTTACCGGCTAGTAGCATAGTTTTTTCTTTCTGCATTGTTTTAATTTATATCTCGCAAAACCAAGGGGAAGTGCAACTCCTAAAGCACCTCAACCTCCACAATCGTATTTTCTTAAATCTTAACAATAGAACTTGTATCTCACCACCTGAGTAAGTAGTTTTGAGAGACCCTAGCGAAATACTATCTTGGTCTTTGGATCTGGTAAATTTGACCACTCACTACAATGGGATCAATATACACTTCGTTTAGTCGAAGTTAGGTTTCACTAAAACCGAACAAGATTGGCTGAGATCTCTTTTGAGAGTTCTCCGTGGATTAGTTTCTCTTAGTCGAAGCTAAGTATACACTTTGTTCATATGAACATTCTTCTTCTCTGGTTAGGTTAGCAATTGGTGTTGGATTTTTCCGCTGGGTTTCGTCTTCTTTTGTTAGGGTTTTTTATACTCATTGGTGGTGGATTTCTTCATCTGGGTTTCTTCTTCTCGGATTGGTCGCTGGTATTGTCTTGCTCGTTTGGGTATCTCTGACCTCTCTTGGGATCAATACTTCGTCGAGTGTTAGTCCAGAGTTTGCTTGTTGGATACTTTTATATTCCTCTTGTTCTTACATGCGCCTTTTATCTTGGTGAATTTTTCCCTGCTTCTTCTACTCTCTTATTCTTACATGGTCCTTGAATTTAGGGATCATTTGGAAGTTGCGAATGTTAAATCGTTGCATTGTAATGAATCACCATAATATAAATACATGTATTGATACAATGGATGCATTTTAACAATATATTGTTTGGTTGTTGAGATTCTACCTTATGCATTGATTTACATAAAGTTACTTTTATGGGAAAATGTCACATTTACCCTCAACTTTTAGAATATGACAAAAACTATTGGGGATATAAATGGAAAGAAAAAGTTGACACAAATCTAAAAGCAACAATCTCAACTTTTAGTTGAGATTGTATAATGCATCATTTTTTGTGATTGTTGGTGGGGCCTGCCTAAAAACAATGCATGCATTGTTTAACACTTTGGGACTTCCAAACATTGTATTGTGCACAAATCAGCATAATACATGTATGCAACAAACACAACTCTAACAATCACAATTTCCAAACCACCCCTTAATATTTTGGTCTCGTTGGTTTGCTATCCTCTAGTATTGGAAAACATTTTTTCTACACTAAAGTTTTATCTTCTTCCCGCTTAGGAACCGAGAATTAAACCCCATGGATCTGAAGATTGAGGCAAAGTCTAAATCGGGACTCACTAGAACCCTAGTAGGAGGGTTGCTAATTGTCTCCCTAATTTTATATAATCGCCCTTATTTAGAAACTAAAGTTCCTTTTTTATCCTTTTATATTTTATTGCTTATATTTGTATAATCGCCCTAGGCCTTCTCTCTCGCCGATTACCAAAATAGATTCAGTAATTGTTGTTGGACCTCCAGAATAGGGAGAAAATACGGAATTTTAAGAATCGATTAATGCTTTGACGGGTTAACTTTAATTAGGACAATTAGAAGATTGAGGCTAAATTAATTGGTCAATAGGATGTTAATACATCAGAATATTGAATTGAAACTAACTTGGGAACTCTTACGGTCTAGGGCTAAATCATTGGTCAAAACACATAAAAAGGATTCTAGGGCTCGGAGCTTTGGGTGGCCAATTAAATGCATTATGCATTTATGCATGACCATTGATTCAATACTTACTACAAAAGTAACCGGATGATTGGCCATCGATTCAATTACTTCCTTTTCTTGCATACCAAATACTTGTATACTCAAACAGTAATTAAGTACACATAACCATGGGAATTGTGAATGACGACTTATTATTATAAGGAGAACAGCAACGTATTAACTATGGGAGACCACTCTCCATTCCAGAACCGAGGCAAAAATAGGTAAAAAAACCATCATAATTTTCACTGTGGAAGTTTATTAATCTTGCGGTATCGGTAATCAGCAAAAGTCTTGGTAGAATATTTTGGTGGGCTCTGATCATCATCCACGAGCTGAGTAAGAGGCCCAATTACTTTATCATGTGGAGGCGCAATGAACACGGCCCATGACATGCGAGTGCGCTCCTTGTTCACCAAAGTCCTGTGAAGCACTCCAGTGTACTTGCCGTTACTCAGAACCTAATAACGTTGATTTTTAGTGTTAGGTAAAGGTAAAAATACAATTTTAACCGTGAACCAATATAATTTCTTAATGTTTTTACCTCAATTTGATCCCCAACATGAACCAAAATGGCTCCGGGGAGGCAATCAACAGCAACCCAGTTCCCATCTTTCCAAACCTGAAGCCCAGCGACGCCATTGGGGACTAAAAGGGTGAGGGCACACATATCTGTGTGAGGTTCAACTCCAAGAGCCAACTCAGGTTGCGGGCAAGGTGGGTAGTGGTTGATTTTCATCTCGGCTTCGATGTCTTCTCCTCCTAAGCTTGATTTCAACGTGTTTGGTTCCAGCCCCAATCCTTCTGATAGCAATTCTAGGATCTTGTCTGTCAGCTTCAGAATCTCTTTGTTGTACTCTTCTGTCACTTCTCTGCATTGTTGAGGAGTGAAACCATAAAATTTTCAGAATCTCAACTAATGTCAATTCCATTAAAAGAGTTTTACTTTCGCTTCTTCTTAAATATTTTGAGAGACGAAATAATAAAATATCCATTTGATGTTTTGCTTAAATGTTGTGAAAGTATGAAAGCATTATATATATATATATTAACATTTTAATAATTAAATTAAATTGCAAAGTGTAAAATAATAAAGAATATTTAAACATAGATTATTTGTTATGAATTGAGTTCTTATGGTCTCAGGTAAAAATGGAAATAAACGCTAATCAGCACAATAATGAACACCAAATCAGAACATAAAAAGGAGGAGGAAAAAAAAAAAAATGTCCCACGTCACAATTGAAATGTTTTAAGGAGGTAGGTCTAAATTTTCACAAAAAAATTCATTTACAATGAAAATGTAGCTCATAATTTTTATTTTACTAAGTCAATAATTGAATCAATATGTAAAAATTTCTTTAAAAGAAATTTAATTTGGTGTTAAAATGATAATCCTTAGTTTAAAATAAATTTGAAAATCCACCATTTTGACGTGCGGGTGCTCGATTCGAATCGTAACGACTGTTTTATGGGTTAACCCGAGCTATAACGGTGGAGGAGAGCACATAATATGTCATTCATAGTTGATTCATTAATCTCATACCTGAATCTGAAAAGATTTGACAGCTTGTACACTATCATTGTGATGAAGAGTAAGATGAGAAATATAAATGTTGGAAGAATTTTTTTTTAAGACATGCTATGGAACTTTCCCTTATTGGTCATGTATGTTTGCCGGCCAGAGTATGATTACCTGTAGGAAGGAGGATGTTTGGGCCAGATTTGAGGGTTGACCTTGGCCGGCGGTGCAGCGAGGTGGAAGAAGTAGTCAAGCCACTCGGTCTTCTCATCCGGGTTCTTAATCATCCTCGTCCCATACCCTTCAAACTTTCCGTTCGCGGCATCATTGGCGTAAGCCTGTTTTTCCTTGAGCGGGAGAGCGAAGAATCCTTCTCCCACCTCTTTCAGCCGTTGGATCAAGGTCGAAGAGATCCCGTGGTTCGTAACCATTACAAACCCCCATTCCATGCACGCTTTGGAAACCTGATGATGTTGAAAACACATTATTATTTTTATGAATAAAAAAAAAAACACACACACACGCAACGCAAATATAATAACGCAAAAAATTTGCAAAGTTTTCATCCGGCGCGACCTGATCGACGAGCACTTCGTGCGGCTGAGATAGAGACACGACGGGCACGGTGACGCCTTCGATGGCTTTGGTGTTTTCAGGGCGTTCGTGGCTTGGACGGATGAACTGCGGTGGCAGCTGCTGGGTTGTCCCGCCATTATAAGCAAGATCTTGGAAACTCTCCACCTCCATATCGAAACAAGTTAAATGCAGAAAGAAAGAAGGAAGGAGAGGGAAAGGAATGTCGAGGCTGTGATGAATTAATGCTGTGAATGAGCGATGGAACGGTGTAATTTATATATAAGAACTTGGAAAAGAAGCGGCGGGAAGGTGGGGGACTGGTTGGCGTGCGTAACGGTGGAGAACGTAAGGGAAGGTAAGGAGAGTTCGATCATACCTACCAATTGAGGTTATGGTAATATGAAAAATGGAAAGTGAAAGTGAAAGTTTAATTTTCATACCTAATATATGAGTTAATTAAACAACGCACATATTTAAAACCTGAAAAGATAGATATTAGTATGCTAACGCTAATTAATAATACTATTACTATATTTGATAGTACGACGGTGCAAAATTTGGGATAAATGTAAGTTTCGAAGCATTTTTTATGTTCTTTGGTTGGACAACGCACATTGATAAAACCTTAAGAACTAGACATTAATTAGTATGCTAAAGCAAATTAAAAAAAGTCATTATGTGTCTATAAAAAAAAAGGCATTATGGTAATAATACCAACAATATATTTGATCATACGGGTACCAAGGTGATCAATTCACCTGGACGAATAAACGCGAATGAGGGCTCCGCCTGTGTCCGAGAGAGACTGGATAGGGCTCTTTGTTGTCAGGGTTGGATTGATCGATACCCGGATATATCTTAGTCAAACATTTCATAGACCAGTGCTGCGACCATAGAGCTTTACTACTTTCTGACAAACCATATGTGAGACAGAGTCGCCCACTTTTTCGGTTTGATGCCCACTGGACGGATAATCTTGAAGTCAAGGCTATGGTGACTTATGTTTGGCCAGAGGAACCCTCCAATAAAAAACAGATAGACTTAAATCTGTCTATCCAATTAATTGGGATGAGGTGAGGATATTGGAAACAGAGCTGAGCATGCAATGGGATGCGGAAGAGCTTTACTGGCAACAGAAATCCAGGGTTCGTGGCTCAAGAAGGGAGATAAGAACACTTCGTACTTCCATACGGTGACCAAAAGTAGCAGAAAATGAACCTTTGTGGATGGGATAAGAAATGATTGTGGGGAGTGGATCACCGAGGAAAGGGGGAAGGCTGACGTTGCCATTGATTTCTATCAAACCCTCTTTACCTCGGAAAATCAAGTATTGAACATGGAAGCCAGGGTTGCAAAATTGCCCATTGCTCGTAAATTAACTGTTGAAATGAATGATAGCTTTATGGCAGACGTCCTCCTGGTGAGGTTCGTGCAACAGTCTTCTCTATGGGATCGAAACAGGCGCCAAGTTCATATGGGTTCACTAGAAAAAATTTCGAATATTTTTGGGATATTGCGGGTGAATCTATGACGGCAGCTGTCTGTGATTTTTTTACTACGAGTCGTATCCTCCATAGTTTCAATCATACGTGGTTGACCTTGATCCCTAATGTGGAAAATGTTGAAACCATGAAACAGCTCAGGCCTATAAACTACACCCTATGTGTTTTGAGAGTCTAATGCATGGTCAGTTGTTTATGCTTGGATTGGACACTACAACAAATTCGGCCTTTTATGACCAGGCAATTTTGTCATATTAGATACCAATTTTGTCATATTAGGTATAATATGACAAAAGGTGTTGTCACAAAGGTTTGTCATTTTATCGCCGTCAGGATAGGTCAAATGTGACAAAATTTTAAAACAAGGTTGTCACATTTGCTTTCAGTATAGCTGAGGTTCTGGGTAGTCTATTGTGACAAACAGAGATGTTATGACGACATATTTTGTCATAATTTTGACAGAATTGTTTGTCATATTACACCATTATATTTTGACTTTACATAATTGTGACGAGCAAATTGTCATAAATGCATTATTTGACGAATATATTTTGTCATAACTGTATATTAGGACGAACATATGTTGTCATAAATGCATATTGTGACCAATATGATTTATTCATCAATATATTGAATAACATATAGTTGAAAAAATTAATATTCTTGTAGCATGAAACTCCGATCAAACAAATACTAGTTACACATCTAACTATTTTTGGTGTCCTAAACAAACTCATCTGCAAATTCTGAATCCCTCGACAATGCTGGCCTATTGTTGTCACTGCTGCTGCCGCTTATATGTTCATACAATCTGTAGAGAAAAACTACATCAAATTGAAAAGATTATTAACGCCAAAACCTATAGGTTTGCTACAGAGATACATAGAAGTACAAAATCAAGATGAAACTATTATGAGATGGGCACAATCTACCTATTAATAGCCTAAATCAGTGGTTGAGGTGTCAAACGTTAGTATCTGCAGGTAGCTGCTCAGCTAGGGTGATGCGAAAATCATGCCTCTAGATAAACTTGATAAAAATTGCAGCCTGCAAAACTCTTGAAGAAACAAGCTTATAGAAAGTGTTTATATATTGCTTATAAGTCTAAGCAAGTCTAAGATGTCCCTGCCCAGAATCATGTAGTCACTTTAAAAATCATGGTTGAACTCTTATAACATAATCAGTGGAGAACTCCGAAGACAGTAATCATCAATCAGGATAGGCATATGAACTCTGAATTGAAAATTGAATTCTGACTACGGTATCCAACTTTAGAACAAGATAAGAAACAAAGCAAAAGTATTGGGGAAGATGGAAAGTTAAGAGGCAAAGGTCGGTCAGACGTCAGAACTATATGCATTGAATTGACCGGGAAATTAAGAAAGTATGACCAGACCAACCAGACCCTTATTCCATGCTCTTCATATCTAGAGCTCATCACTACTGTCAAAATGCCACAAGCATGATCGACCTTCCAGACTGTCAAACCAAACCTCAAACTCGGTGTTAACATAAATAATTAGAAACCCAACAACATAAAGGATGACCATATGCAACGAACGACTCACATCCAATCAGGCAGGGTATCTGACTGAAACCCTAATTCCTACTTAGGACTGTCTTGCAGCCAAGAGTGTATTTGCCACCTTCATCACCAAGGCCAATTTGGTGTTGATGCTCTCATGAGTCTTGACACACCAAAACACAACACCTAACAATGGCCAAGTGTAACCAATGAAAGGGACTGCAGTATAGTGGCACAAGTAATAAATATCGAATCCACGGGTCTCTAGAGTTACTATTACTCAGCTTCAGTTCATTATCTAGCAAACTAGATTAAGGATTGATTGATAAACTACTCTACTGACTACTCTACTAATTACAAGTTGGGAACTCACTTAGGTATGATTCCCCCTAGCTCCTCAATTAAGTCCAAGTTGCAATTACCTTTGGTTGTTCTACTGTTGATTAAACTGCGGAAGATCCGAAATTAGCTTGGAATCTCTTAAGCTGACCAAGCCCTCTCAAACAGAATACCCGACAGACGACTAGCCTTCACCGGGATAGACTGCTAAGGCGATTCACACAGATCTCCACTACTGGAATGAATTCCAGTACAAAGCAGTAAATTGATTGACTCTCGCACAACCAATTCACCACTATCAATCAAGGAAGCTCTCTTAACCTAATCAGATTCTATCTATCATAGGTTAAAGCAAAAATCAAGAGAATTTGATCAAGATTCAATTGACTCAATAAATCATGCCTCAATCGATTATAATCAAACAATAAAGCATCCAAAACTTCATACAAGAAAGATCCTAACTCATGGAACTAGGGTTCCTCAAAACCTAAGTGAAAGGAAGTTACTCCATAGAGAAGAGAGAGACTGCAGAAATCTGATCTAGATCTTCAATCTCCATCTCCAAGCTTGATTCCTGAGCTCCAATGGCGAAGAAATCCTCCAAAATAGCTCCAAGAATGTTCCCAAGTCGCTCTCTCTCTAGGGTTCGTCCCTTGGGTGTTTGGGATCCAAAACCCAGCTCTCCCCCTCTCCTTTCGCTGAAAATCGGGTTTTAAACAACAATTCCCGACCCGCACGGCCAGGGTGCACGGCCGTGCACCTCACCATTCTGGCCGTGCAGCCCTAAAACGCACCATTTCACTTAATCGATCTCAGCCATCTTGCACGGCCAGGTGCACGGCCGTGCAAGGCTGGATTTTGCCCGTGCAAGGCCTCGGCAGAGAGCGCACGGCCAGAATTATATGTTGCACGGCCGTGCGCCTCCCTGGTCTGCCCGTGCAGCTTGCTCAGCCTCTGTTTAATGCTTCGTTTCTCCCTCGTTCGGACTCCGAATCAGTCGCCGTTTGATCCCAGACGCTCGTAGTCTCGTCCTCTTTCGTTTCATAACAAGCTTGCATGATTCTCTGTCCATAAAGTGAGGTAGAAATCCATTCTTCTTCAGGTCATGCCCGAGTTTCTGCTCCCGAATCGCCAATTGATCTCTGATTGACTTGAAACTTGCGCCTATGCTTCACTTTATGTGCTAGGACCTGAAATATGACAAAGGAACACAACCTAGCGTAAAATAGGCCAAAGATGTGATAATTAAAGCTCAAACGATCAAGAAACACAGGGGAAAACATGTGCAAATATCGAGTCATCAAATCCCCCCACACTTAACCGTTTGCTTGTCCCCAAGCAAACCTAACTCAAACCAATGCAGCTCTCCAGAACTCTATAGCAACAAACAACCCCGATCGTCGGTAGAGGACTTTCTAGATCATAAAGCAGCTTACGAGGTTAACTGGTCTTCTAAGACGTCCCCTATCTTTCTCAATGCGAGTACTAGACTCAAGCCAGGATCATGAGAAAAAGTAGAAGTAAGACAGTCAGTTCATGGATAAAGGGACTCACACCATTCACAACCAAGGACTCGTTGTACCGGGGTGCTCTTTCACTTCATTTCACCGTTGGAACCCCTTTTTCACTTTCATTTTACTTACTTTTTTTTTCCTTTTTATTCACTTGGCGGGGGTTCCAACTGCAGTCTTTTGCACGGTCGACCCTTATTAGTCGAGCAAGAGCAATTTCTGTACATCTGGCGCTCGCCAGAGTACTTCTTTTAACTCCTTTTCCTCAACTCGTGTGGAGGGTCAATGAAATTAAGGGGGGTCGGAAGCTCTATCCGTGCCCTTAAAAACACATCCTCGAGTAGGCAAACCGTTCAACGGGTGGAAGTTTTACTTGTACTAGAGACAGCTTAG